GTGCCATGGCATCACAGCTCATAGCAACCTCAAACTCTTGGGCTTAAGCGATTCTCTTGCTCAGCCTCCCAAGTAGCTGGGACTATAGGTGCCGCCAGAATGCCTGGCTATTTTTTGGTTGTAGTTGGCCTGGGGATTTGAACCCGCCAGCTCTGGTATATGTGGCTGGCACCCTAGCCGCTGAGCTACAGGCACTGAGCCCCTAAGACTCTTTAGGGTCAGAGATTCTTCCCATCTACTAAGAGAGAAACTGTTGGCCAGATATCTTTAGTGACTTTGTGAGTGCCTTTACGAACACCTCCTGGGAAGCTAAGAGAAGAAAAGTATAGACAGACTCACCTCATGGGTGTAAGTACGAACGGGGACTCCAAAGGCTCTGGCTAGTCCAAAGTCTGCTAGCTTGATAGACCCCTCTGCGTTGATAAGCAGATTCTGAGGCTTAAGGTCTCGGTGCAGGACTCGATGAGAATGGCAGAAAGCTAGGCCCTGGAGCAGCTGGAATAAATAGCTCTGACAGGGAGAGAGACAGGGAGAAAACTGTGTTTTTCCACAGTGAGCAGATTAGGTTTGTTCTGTGCCCCCAAATCTCTACTAAAGACTTACTGGGTTGGATTATAATACATGTTTCTGAGCTATTTCTCCAATTGTACTGGCAGCCTAATGAGGATAAGGACATCACACCTTAATTCCGTTTTGTATCTGTTCTTCATACCCTGTGCCTAGCACACTGAAGGTATTCGATAAATGTGCACTGAAAAGGCTCAGTGCCTGTAGCTCAGTGGCTAGGGAGCCAGCCACATATATCAGAGCTGGCGGGTTCGAATCCAGCCTAGGCCTGCCAAGCAACAAACGACAACTGCAACCAAAAAATAGCCAGGCGTTATGGTGGGCGCCTGTAGTCTCAGCTACTTGGGAGGCTGAGGCAAGAGAATCACTTAAGCCCAAGACCTTGAGATTGCAACATAGTGAGACTCTGTCTCAAAAAAAAAAAAAAGAAAAGTGTGCACTGAAAAAATGTTTGTTGAAAGATTACATGTAGCTCTGAGAGTGAAGAATCAATTCCTAAAATAGATAACAGAGACTCACTGACTAGTTCTCCCACCAAACAGGTGAAAGGGCTTTTTTGAGGAATCTACCAAGAGCTCTCAAATCCCATTTACCTGAGTTTCATCTGACCTCCCACCTAAACCACTAGGTTGACTCACGAGTTTCAACTTTGATTCTTCACCCAACCCTAGGGTTAATAAGTATGATGAACAGAGAAGAGATGCCAAAAAGGGGAGTGTGTGTAAGAGTATGTGTGTCCGTGTGAGTGTAGGGGGATAAGGGCTGGGAAGGAAGCCAAGATCACAAGTTATGGCCCTGAACTGACTTGCTTCCAGCCCCCCCAAGACATGCCCACGGTGGGGAAGAGTTGATGAGGAGCATTACCTTGATGAGGGGGAGAGGAATGCCCGTGAGAGCAGAGGCATCCATGAATTTCTTGAGGTCTTGGTGTAGAAATTCAAAAACCAGGTAGAGTTTATTTTCTGTGTGGATGACATCCAGCAGCCTAGGGAAAGGAAGGTCAGGGAAATGAGTTGAGGGAAGAGACAGTCCCACATTATACTGACACTACTCATCCTCCTTTCCTATCAGATCACCTCCCAGACATACACTTACTTGACAATATTAGGATGGTTAAGCTCCTTAAGCAGTGAGATCTCTCGAATAGCAGTACTGGGTACACCCTCTGTCTCACTTGGAGAGGTCAGGAAAGAAGAGATGAAAATATGGTTACAAATATTCCTTCTCCCCAAGCCCAGTCATTCTTTCCCCCTCAAGGAGACATCGTCCTAGCACCCTCTAGGAAAGTGAGAGAAGGGGTGCTGCTTTAAAGAGTTAAAATGGGGGCTTGGCGCCTGTGGCTCAAGTGGCTAAGGCGCCAGCCACATACACCTAAGGTGGCGGGTTCAAATCCAGCCCAGGCGCGCCAAACAACAATGATGGCTGCAACCGAAAAAAAAAATAGCCAGGCGTTGTGGTGGGTGCCTGTGGTCCCAGCAACTTGGGAGGCAGAGGCAGGAGACTTGCTTGAGCCCAGGAGTTGGAGGTTGCTGTGAGCTATGCCATGGCACTCTACCCAGGGGGACAGCTTGAGGCTCTGTCTCAAAAAAAAAGAGTTAATTTTGGGGTACTCAGGTCGTGACTTTTAGAGACATTAAGGTCTTTCTTTATTTCCAGTTCTTCCAGAGGATAGATAAGTAAAGCCATCAGGTGAAGGTGAAGCAGAGAGCTGGTAATAGAGAAGAAATGGTGGAGTGGCACCTAGCTTCCCCAGAGGGGCCAGTGAGGTTTAACTGCCATTTTCTTGAAAGAGAGAGAATTCTAAGCTGAGGGTGGGGTTGGGGCAGTGAAGAGGGCTCTTCATTCAGAAAGGTGCTTTTCGCAAGTTCCTACATAAGCTAAGTCCATGGAGAATCCTGGACGCCCCCCATCTCAGAGGCCTCCTTTCTCTTCCTAAGTCTCTCTGGCTGTATATTTGGGGGCATCATCCGGCTTAGGTCGGGAAGAAAGTTTTCCACGGATTCTACACCACTCTATACTCTCCCTAGAAAAACCTCTACTGTCCCCCAACCCACCTCTCGACTTCAAAAGACGTCCCTCCCTGCTCTCTTCCGGTCCCTGGACTGCCACCCGCCAGTTGGTGTGGAGGGACGGTCAAGAAGCTTCCCAGTTAAGAGTCCCGGGTACAGAGGCCACTCACGTGTCCAGGCGGATTTTCTTAAGCGCCACTACTTCTCCTGTTAACTTGTTTCTGGCCTTATACACAACTCCGTACGTGCCCTCTCCGATCTTTTCCACCTTTTGGAAGTTCTCCATGAAGCGCAAACGAGTAGGGTCTGCCCGGCCCTGGAGCGGGGGCCTGGGAACCCGGCAGAAAATGGGCCCCGGCTCTTGGGGGCCGAGAAGGGGGAAACAGGGCCTGGCACCTTGGCCCCAGGTCGCGATGGAACGCAGTGTATTTCTCGCTCTTGTCAATTTGCCCAACTTGAAACAATGTTACCGCCTGCCCCCCAGTTCCCGACCGCCAACAGAAGCCCCTCCCCTCCTTCCCGCGTTTCCCTGACCCCGCCCACATTCCTTCCTATTGGCCAACGTCAGGGAGGGCGGGGCTAGCCTCAAGGGACTCTGCCCAGTGCAAGTTTGGTTCCGAGGGGTCAGACAAGTTTCTTCCTCCGTGGGCCAGTGGAACACTTTTTCCCAAGTGTCTGCTTTGGGTTCGAGTTTCCTAGCTATGTGTCTAGACTTCAGGAGTTCTGTGCTCTCTATCTCGTTCTTTTAACCACCCCTTGGGAAAATGTGTACCGATCTAAGATTAAATTCCATCTGGCCTAGGGCCGGGCGCGGTGGCTCACGCCTGTAATCCCAGCACTTTAGGAAGCCGAGGTGGGCGGATCGCCTGAGCTCACGAGTTCGAGACTGGTCTGAGCTAGAGCGGGACACCATCTCTAAATAGCCGGACGTTGTGGCGGGTACCTGTAGTCCCAGCTACTGGAGAGGCTGAGGCAAGAGAAATCACTTGAGCCCAAGAATTTGAGGTTGCTGTGAGCTGTGATGCTATAGCACTCTACTAAGGGGGACAGCTTGAGTCTCTGTCTCAAAAAAAAAAGTTTTTTGCTCAGCACCAGTAGCACAGCGGTTATGGGGCCAGCCACATACACTGAAGTTGGCAGGTTTGAACCCGACCCGGGCCAGCTAACCAGCAATGACAACTGTAACAAAAAATAGCCAGGCGTCGTGGCAGGCGCCTGTAGTCCCAGTTACTTGTGAGGCAGAGGCAAGAGAATCTCTTGAGCCTAAGAGTTAGAGGTTGCTGTGAGCTATGACGCCATGGTACTCTACCAGGGGCGACAAAGTGAGACTCTGTCTCAAAACAAACAAACAAAACCCACCTGGCCCAGGGAACTGTTTTTAAAAAACAAGAATCTGGGGCTCTGAGAAGTGTTGCCACCGCCTTTCAGCTTACTCCAGTGCTCTCTTTCTCTCTGTTTTTGGATGCAGTGTTCTGTTTCTGTCTTTTAAATAAATTCCTGGAGTAAGTAATTCATTTTCCCATTATGAATTGCGTATGTCTAGTATGCGTTATGTAGGGGCCTTTCTTTCAGTCAACTCTTCCCTGGGGATCAAGTGTGTCAAGATGATAGTGATCCAGTGAAACCAGAAACTGTCACTGAGTAGTGGGATGTAAAGGAATGTCCAAAGACCCGGATCTCTCCTGAGTTCTTCCCTTTTCCAGCCCCTCCCAGGACTCCCCTGGAGAGAGAAGAGGGAGGGCTATGCAAATGAGCACCCCTTTCTTATATAGGGGCTGATCCCAGCCCTGTAGCAACTTTGGTTGCTGGAGGGATGGACAGGATGGATCCCGGGCTGAGAAGGTGCCTTTTCTGTTTGGCTGTGATGAGTGCTCTGGTGGCTGTAGGGAGGACAGAAGGTGAGTGTGAGTATGTGGAGGTGAATAGCTGTGAATTTGGGGATGAACACCTACTCTGGGTTTTCCTCTCTTAATGGGAGATACTGGCAATACTTCAGGCTTCTCCCACCCATTCGATTTAGTGAGGATGTGTGCACTAAGTTCATTTCCTACATGGAAATTAGGGATTGAGCCTGAAAATAATCTCATATATTTAGAGTGGCAGAAGGATAGCAGGTCTTTGGCACACTAATTCTGTGGCCCCTTTGGCAGTGATCTGGAGCAGGGACTCCAGAGGGGGGACGTGGGTAGGAACTATTTTACATAATATTTCAGGTACTTTGGGTAGGGAATTTAAAGTGGGTAGTAAGAGAATGTGGTATTGGATGAGAAGGCTAAGGAGATACTCCTTTCCGTCTTTAGGATGTAGATGGGTAAACACAGCCAAGGCCTTTTGTTCTGGGGTTGGGAGAGACAGGCAGAGGGGTCTCAGCTGAGCATCACATGAAAGGGCTCTTGGGGGATTGGGGCCTCGTGACAGGAGCAAGGGGCGGGAGTAGGGGGTGGTGAGAGGGTCTGGAATGTCACGTGCTGCTCTGAAGAGGGAGGGTTGCAAGTGGAAAAAGATTGGGGCATCTTATGACTTCTTTTGCTCTAGTGATGAGATGCTCAATGAGATGTTTCCAACTCCTCCCCCAGCAGAATCAACTAGGTTTACAGCACACATTAGAAATGGGGCAAGGCTATATATGAAACATATACATCATATCCTAGGCCCCCTTCTCTCTGCAGAACTCTGGCCTCACAGACTTCTAGGAAGGCCTCCTTAATCTGCCTTCCCTCATTAAGCTCTAGTTTCAAGTTTTTTCTTTTTTCCTTCCTTCCTTTTTTTTTGGGACAAAGTCTCACTCTATCTCCCTGGATAGAGTGCTGTGGTGTCACAGCTCACAGCAACCTGAAACTCTTGGGCTCAAGTGATCCTCTTGTCTCACCCTCCTGAGTAGCTGGGACCACAGGTGCCTGCCACAACACCTGGCTGGTTTTTCTATTTTTAGTAAAGACAGGATCTCACTTTGCTCAGGCTTGTTTTAAACTCCTGAGCTCAGCCAATCCACCTGCCTGAGCCTCCTAGAGTGCTAGGATTACAGATGTGGACAACCATGCCTGGCCTCAAGTCTTTTTCTTTTACTATGTTCCTTAACATATTTTGGAAACAGTCTGTTCACACTCACCCACCTGAGGCTCTTAAAAGATTGGGCTTACATTTTGGATTCTGATTTTAAAAATTATAAGAAGACATTTTTCTAGATGTTTATAACATTTTATGTTGACTGGGTTTGGTAATTTTGTCTAGCATGAAATAGACTGTGTCCTTTTGCAAGAAATATCCATTATTTTTTATAGATACATACTGAATTTATAGGGTTAAAATAGGAAGATGTCTAGGATTTGCTATTAAATACTTTAGCCAACCCATCTTCCCACCCCCAAACCAAAAGCAACACTAATAAGGATAAATAAAGTAAATGTGACAAAATGTTGATAGTTGGATCTGGGTGAGGGCATATGGAAGTTCATTATATCCTTCTTTTCCCTCAGACCTCTCTCAGTCAGTTACAATAATTTTGGCTTCTGTGCCCCCACCCTCAATCTTTGCCTACTTCTAATCCATCATCCTTACTGCTTGCCATGGTGATCATTCTAAAACACAAATTTGATCATATTCAAAAGCTTCTAATAAGTAACTTTTATATGAACTGTATATTAATTTAAAATAGTAAAACAACAAATCAGAAGAGATGGCTTTGCCTACAGGATCCTTACCCTGGCACTCAAAGTCTCCAACCCACATTCTCAGCCTAACATGCCATGTACTTCTATGTCTCCATACATTTGCTCATGCTAGTCCTAGGGCCACTCCCCACTGAAGTTTTTCCCAATCAACTAGAATCAAATTAATCTATTTGGTCTTGTGTTTTGTTATACTACATGTACGTCTGTTATGGCACATATTAAACAGTGCTTTGAATTATGGTAATTCATGTACATGTTTATTCCACCTTGAATCCCTTCAGAGCCATATCTTATTCATTTCTTAAGTCCTTTGTATAACAGTGGTACCCGGTGGGTATTCAGTAAATTAAAATGCTACTTTGAATGTGAGGATGAATGGAGTGATAAGGGATAGAGTATTACCCTCTGGAAAGGGACTGAGTGAGGATCCTAGGGCCCTCATGACACATTTTTCTTAGGACCCAGAGAACAGGACTGGCTTGGTGTCTCAAGGGAATTTAGAACTAAAACCTGGAATAGACAGCTGTATCCAGAGTGGACAGAAGTCGAAGGACTTGACTGCTGGAAAGGTGGGAACTTAGAACTTCCAAAGGAGGGCATGGTGGGAATGGGATGGGGAGAAGAGCAAGAAGAAATGGGCTGAATGTAGTTTGGGAAAAGAAAACATATCTGGGCTTGGTGCCACGGATAGCACAGTGGTTACTTTGTCAGCCATGTACACCGAGGCTGGTGGGTTTTAACACAGCCCGGGCCAGTTAAACAACAATGACAACTACAACAAAAAATCGCCTGGCGCCTGTTGTCCCAGCTACTCGGGAGGCTGAGGCAAGAGAATCGCTTAAGCCCAAGAGTTGGAGGTTGCTATGAGCTATGATGCCACAGCACTCTACCAAGGGCGACATAGTGAGACTCTGTCTCCAAAAAAAAAGAAAGAAAGAAATATCTGGGGAGGGGAAGCCAATGAATCCCAGCTAATGCAGCTTCCCTTCCCAGGTGGTCAAGTATCCCTGGAGGTCAGTAATGATGGGCCTACTCTGATTGGTGCAAATGCTTCCTTCTCTATTTCTCTGCACTTCCCTGGAAGCCAAAAAGTACTGCCAAATGGAGAGGTAATCTGGGCCAACAACACCATCATCAATGGTGAGTATCTCTCAATTCGAGGCCCTTATTCCTAGGGCTCAGGGCCCTTGGTGTCTCAAATGAGCTCAGGGAATGCCCCCTTCGTCCTTTACTTTTTTCAACAAGTTATATATGTAATATATACCCATTGTAGTACAATTAGAAAACAAAGATAAAACAAAAAGAAAATTACAGTTCTTAATATAGGGGACATTGGAATCCTGTGAACCTAAAAGTTGGACAGACCAAGAATTAAATTTGCCACTAGTATGTGACCTTGGGCAAATTACTTGACCGTTTTGTTTTGTGCTTCTATTATCAAAGCAGAAAGGGATTGTTGTAAAGATTAAAATGTGAAAAGGGTCAAGTGCAGTGGCTTATGCCTGTATTCTCAGCCCTTTGGGTGGCTGAGGTGAGAGGATCACTTGAGCCCAGTTCAACACCAGCCTAAGCAACATAGTATGACCCCTCGTCTACAAAAAAAAAAAGAACCAGAGTGGGTGGATTGCTTGAACTCAGGAATTCCAGACCAGCCTGAGCAAGAGTGAGACCCAATTTCTAAAAAATAGCTGGGTGTTGTGGCTGGCGCCTATAGCCCCAGCTCTTTGGGAGGCTGAGGCAAAAAAATCGCTTAAGTCCAAGAGTTTGAGCTGGCAAGAAAGTGAGACTGTCTCAAAAAAAAAAAAAAAAAAAAAAAAAGAGAAAGAAAAAGAAAAATTAGCTGAATATGATGGTGCATGCCTGCATGCCGTTAGTCCCAGCTACTCAGGAGGCTGAGGTAGAGGATTTATTTTTTTTTTTGAGACAGTCTCACTTTTTTGTCCCCAGTAGAGTGCCATAGTGTCATAGCTCACAGCAACCTCAAACTCTTGGTTGGGCTTAAGTAATCCCCTTGCCTCAGCCTCTCAACTAGCTAGGACTACCGGTACACACCACAATGCCCAACTAATTTTAGAGACAGAGTCTCTTTCTCAGGCTGGTCTCAAACTCCTGAGCTCAAGCAATCCACCCACCATGGCCTTCCAGAGTGCTAGGATTATAGGTGTGAGCCACTGTACCTGGCTTGAGGTGAGAAGGTTGCTTAAGCTCAGGAGTTTGAGGTTGCAGTAAGCTATGGTAATACCACTGCACTCTAGCCCAGACAACAGAGACCCCGTCTTGAAAAACAAAAAACTGGGCTCAGTGCCCATAGCTCAGTGGTTAGGGCGCCGGCCACAGACAGCGAGGTCGATGGGTTCAAACTTGGCCCTGGCCAGCTAAACAACAATGACAACTGCAACAACAACAAACAAATAGCCAGGTGTTGTGGTGGGTGCCTGTAGTCCCAACTACTTGGGAGGCTGAGGCAAGAGAATCACTT